TCATTTAATAACAAACAAAATATGTTCAAACTATTGGTGCCTATGAACCAAATGAAACAGTTTAAAATAGACTATAATTACGAAAAGATTGCATTTGATTTGATTGACGCTAATTGGGCTGAAAAGGTAGACATCTATGAGAAACGAGTCGTCCATTCGATGAAGAGTGGAGACGATTATGATTATGAAAACTATCACAACTTAAACGAAATTAATAATGAATTAAAACGTGTGTCCAAAGTGTTTGCAAACATTACGAGACTATTCTCATTGGGACAGACATACGAGAAACGGGAGATCTATGCCATCAGAATAGCCAAAGACTATAATAAGAAGATAATTGTGTTTGAGTGCGGAATTCATGCCAGAGAATGGATTTCACCGGCTGTTTGTCTGTACTCTATAAAACATTTACTTAATGAGCAAACCTTGCTCATTAATAAATATCAATTCCTTATTATCCCCACAATCAATCCGGACGGGTATTTGTCTAAATTATAATTTCTCATTTATTTCACAATTTTTTATGACAATAGGTATGACTATACGTGGACTGGAGATAGATTTTGGAGGAAAAACAGGCAACAGATATCAGAAAAAGATTGCTTTGGTATTGATTTGAACAGAAAGTAATATAGCATTCAATGATTTGATTCATTTAGACTACAATAGAGAGTGTTGGCTATTATTAACATTTATTTTATAAGTTTTTCTATTTAAAAGCATTAGGTTTAGGAATTTTAAAAATAACTTTAGTAATAAGATAGTAATTTTTATTTAAAAGCAATTAGTAAATCAAATTTTAAAAAGTTATTAATTTAATAAATAGTTGGGATACGAAATATTTTTGTGAACACAAGTCGTCAAACGATTCGTGTAATTATGACATAACTTGTGGCGGAAAACCATTTTCAGCGCTCGAAACCAAAGCGTTAAGTAATTACTTGAAACAAATTGGACACAAATTAGTGGCATATTTCGCGTTTCACTCTTACGGTCAGTTGTGGACCTATCCCTACAGCTATACCAAAGACAAACCATGTATTGATGACCACATCCTATTTGTACTCATATTTATATTATTTATTTCTTAATTCTTGTGTTGTATTAATGATTTATTTGACATTAGAAACAACTCTCAGAAATAGCCACTAATGCTATCAAACGAACGCATAATAAGATCTACACTTATGGCGATAACTCCGACTTGTTGTGTAACTCATGTTTTTTATTCAAATTCAAATAATCAGTCAATAAATTATTTAATCTCATTTTGTAAAAATCCCAATCTCACTGATCCCGATCATTTATCCATTAGGCTTAATCAAACAAATTAATTCTAACCACAAAGTTTCTTATTAAATAAATAGATTAAATAATTTTTTGAACAATCTTTTGATAAATTAATTCTCATTTCCTGTAGACATGGCCTCTGGAGTAAGCAATGACTGGGTTTACGCTACATTTGGTGTGAAAATAAATTTCGGGATAGAGCTGCGTGACCAGGGACAATTCAATTACTTCCTGCCGGCCCCACAGATAAAGCCCACCTCTGAAGAGATGTGGGCCGCCATTGAAGCCATTTTCAAACACGTGTCTCAAACGGATTCATTTGCCACGGGATCTACTCGTAATAATTATCTCATTTCTAACTTAATGTTTATTTCATTTGTATCTATGATTATTAGCGCTTCATTGTAACTAGTTCATTTTGGACTTAATTGTTTTTTATTGTAAATATACTTTACTGTACTTCGCATATAAAACACTATAAAAATGTGGAGGATTTCCTAATTTAAAATAAAGTTTATATTTTAAACAATTTGCTAATATTTGTTAGAGCTACATTGTTTCATTGATTTTTTTGGATAAATAAACAGTTTATTGATTCCAACCATCCGTTCCCTAATTTGTTATATTTTTATATAAAATAGAAATATTTTTCAATTAAAATTTTTCACATATTATACGAGTTTGACATTTGATTTTATACACAAGTTGTACACATATTTACGCAATTAAAATGGACAGTCATTATACCGTTAAAGCTATGGATGAATTACGTGAATCAACACAATATTTAGCTACTGGTGCTGATGAGCAGTTCTCGTTTATTTTGCTCGGCATTACAGTAAGCATTATATATCTGTTAATTAAAATATTTTCACATTTAATTAATTATGTAATAATTCATTTTATCAATCATTCAATTATAGGGCGATCTATCGAGAAAGAAATTAATGCCAACCCTATTGTATGTATAAATATTCGGGATATTTTAAAACTATGATATTATTTATTTATTATCATGAACTTATAATTATGTTAAATTTATTTTTAATTTAGTTCACTATATCGACAAAATCTATTGCCACAAAATATTAATATCATTGGATACGCGAGGTCTAAGACTTCAGTGGATGACATCCGAAAGTCTGTCGACCCTTATGTGGCCCTTAAGGACAATGAAGAGAGAGCCCAATACGAGGACTTCTGGAAACTTAATTCATATTTTCACGGAAACACAGATAAAGCCAGTGATTATGGGGCCGTTGAAGAGCACCTGAAAAAGTTAGAGACGGGAAAGGGAGCTGCGAATAGACTCTTCTATTTAGCCCTTCCGCCTACTGTTTATGCGGCCACGGCTTCGGCCCTACACTCAGCCCTTATGTCGCAAACGTATTCAATAATCAATAGTTTTGGAAATTATATGATTTATAACTAAAGACATATTATTGTGATTTTTAATTAGGGGTTGGAATCGACTCATAATAGAGAAGCCTTTCGGTCGCGACAGTGAGAGCTCTAACACTTTGTCCGAAGAATTGTCAAAATTGTTTACAGAGGACCAGATCTATCGCATTGACCACTACTTAGGCAAAGAAATGGTACAGAATTTGCTTTCATTGAGGTTTGCAAACAGAATATACGAACAGAACTGGAATAAAGACAGCATTTCTAACGTCGAGATACTCTTCAAAGAGCCGTTTGGCACTCAGG